GTAATCAAGGAGATTATACCACTGGGTCCCACAGGAAACTTAATACATAACACCACCCCATGAAGTCTGGAAGTCAGAGCAGATCTACCTATTCCATAGATATAAGCACAAATAGGCAGCCAAAATGAAGAGACAGAAATATGTGTATTTCATAATACTAGAACAAATATCCCAAAAATTTATATGAAACTACAAAAGACCTTGAATAGCCATAGCAATCTTGAAGAAGAACAAAGTTAGAGGAATCATGGTACCTGATATCAATCATGATACCTGCTATCCTACAAGGCCACAGAAGTCAAAACAACATTGTACTGGCATACAATCAAACATATAGCCCTGGCTGAGATGTGAGAGTAACACATTGATTAGTTGCCTCCCACACATGCCCTGACCAGGACTGGGATCAAGTCTGCAACTGAGGTATATGCCCTTGACCAGAATCGAACCAGGGACCCTTCATTCTGAGGGCTAACACTCTATCCATTGAGCCAAACCAGCTAGGATTAAAAATATTTTCTTAAAAACATATATAAAGAAATTTAAAAGTTAAAAGAAAACCAACCTATAGATCAATGGAACAGAATAGAAAGCCCAGAAATAAACCCATATCTTCATGATCCATTAATTTGACGAAGAAGGGAAGAACATAAAATGGCCGAGACCGGTTTGGCTCAGTGGATAGAGCGTTGGCCTGCAGACTGAAAGGTCCCAGGTTCAATTCTGGTCAAGGGCATGTACCTTGGTTGCAGGCACATCCCCGGTGGGCGGTGCACAGGAAGCAGCTGATCGATGTTTCTCTCTCATCGATGTTTCTAACTCTCTATCCCTCTCTCTTCCTCTCTGTAAAAAAATTAATAAAAATATATTTTTTAAAAAGAACATAAAAAGGGCTATAAAGATAGTCTATTCAATAAATGATGTTGGGAAAATTGGACAGACACATGCAAAAAAAATAAAATTAGACCACCTGCTTACACCATAAACAAGAATAAACTCAAAATTGATTAAAGACTTAAATGTAAGACTCCAAACCATAAAAATCTAAAAGAAAACAGGCAGTAAAATCTCAGACATTTCTTGTGGCAATATACTTTCTGATATATCTCCTCGTGCAAGAGAAACAAGAGAAAAAAATGAACAAATGCAAGTACATGAAACTAAAATTTTTTTGCACAGGAAAGGAAACTAACAACAAAATGAAAAGACAACCCAGTGAATGGGATAGCAGATGCAGCAATGATACATCTGATAAGGGGTTAATATTCAAAATTTATAAAGAACTTATATAAATATACACAAAAAATACAACAACCCAATTAAAAAAATGGGCAAAGGACTTGAATAGACACTTCTCCAAAAAGGACAAGCAGATGGCCAATAAACATATGAAAAAATGCTTAGGAATCATCAGAGAGATGCAAAATAAAACCACAATGAGGTATCATCTCACACCTGTCAGAATGGCTACCACCAATAAATCAACAAACAAGTGCTGGCAAAGGTGTGGAAAAAGGGAACGCTTGTGAACCATTGGTGAGAATGAAGCTTGGTGCAGCCACTGTGGAAAAAAGTATAGTGCTTCCTCAAAAAATTAAAAATGAATCTGCCTTATCACCCAGCGATTCCACTCCAGAGATTTATCCAAAGAAACCCAAAACACTGATGTGGAAGAATAGATGCACCCTATGTTAATTGAAGTGCTATTTACAACAGCCAAGATTTGGCAATACTCCAAGTGCTCATCAGTAATGATTGGATAAAAAAGCTGTGGTACATTGTGGTACATTTACACAATGGAATACTACTTGACAAAAAAAAATAAATACACACACACACACACACACACACACACACACACAGAAAAGAAGAAAGAAAACCTTGTCTTTTGCAATAGCATGGATGAAGCTGGAAAGTATTATGCTAAGTGAAATTAGCCATTCTGGGAAAGACAAATACCATATGATTTCAATTATATGTGGAATCTAATGAACAAACAAAACTGAAACAGACTCATAGATACAGAAAACAGACTGACAGCTATTAGAGGGGAAGGGGGCTGCAGCCTGGGTGAAAAAGTTAAAGGTATTAAGCAAAAAATAGCCACTGCCACCACCGTCACAAAAGATCCTCATAGACACTGACAACAGTATGGTAATTACCAGAGGGAAAGGGGTTTGGGAGCATGTAGAAGAGGTTAAAGGTCAGGTAACTGACGATGAAAGGAGACTGGACTTTGGGTGGTGAACACATGCAATATACAGGCGATGTATTATAAAATTGTACACCTGAAACCTATGAACCAATGTCATTCCAATCGAGTCAATAAAAAAATTCTTTAAATGCAAAGTTGTGTTGTTCTTCAGGTTAGTCATATCCCTTTTTATAGATTTGCAAAGTACCTTAACCTTTCCTTATAGCACTTACCAAAGTCATAATTAATTTAAAATGTTTGTCTCTCTGCCTGGACCATGAAGTTCCTGAGAGTAGGGACTCCTTGTTTATCATAAAGTTTGGAACCAAAGGGATGCTTAAAAAAGTTTCATGATTGAATGAATCCACGAGGACCTTTTTTTTTTTTTTTTTTAAGTCCCTGAAGAAGTACAGAGTGAAGCATGATGTGAACCCCCATCTGCTGCTGGGAATCCCTTATTCCTCCCACTCTATCGATGTAGGGCAAACAGAGTTTTTTTAGAACAGGCTTTTCAGACTCAGAAGCTGGAGCTCTAGATACTTACATGGAAGCCAGACTGTATGGAAAGACAGTTCAAGATAATGCTCTGATGCTAGGTCACCTGAGATTCCAAATGATCCTTGCAGGGTTTTGGAACTCACCATCCTCTGCACATTTAAACCCTTAAAAAAAAGTGTTTTCTTTGCTCTTGGTGTATGAAAGTATTTTAAACTTTATCAAAAGTGTCCTGAGGGTTATCTGTTTTAGACACATGTTTGTATTTCTTTTTATTATTATTATTGATTTTTTTTATTTTATTTTTTTACAGAGAGGAAGGAGAGGGATAGAGAGAAACATCCATGAGGGAGAAACATAGATCAGCTGCCTCCTGCACACCCTCTACTGGGAATATGCCCACAACCAAGGTACATGCTCTTGACAGGAATCTAACCTGGGTCCTTTCAGTCCACAAGCCGACTCTCTATCCACTGAGCCAGACTGGTTTCAGCCAACACATGTTTGTATTTCTTAAATATTAGGTCTTCTGAGCCATTCCAAACTAACTGAGAAAGACCAGGAATCTGCATTTTTAACTATAGCCACCACCACCACTACTGCTACCACTACCACTACTATTACTATTATTAAAGTGACTCTTTCAACTGTTGTTAAAACACATTTTGGTCTGGGATAAGCCTTACTATTAAAAGAGAAATATTAAATGATCAATGTTTGTCAAACTATATTTCTGAATATTCAGTTTCTTTTTGGGTTAGGTAACAGATTTTGTTTGTATTTAGCAGACAAACTTTTTTTATTCTATTTTTCAATTACAATTTATAATTGATATTATGTTATATTAGTTTTGGGTACAGTATAGGTTAGACAATGCTATTCTTTACAAAGTATTCCCCTCCCCACCTCCATATTTCAAGTACCCATCTGAGACCATACATAGTTGTTACAATTTTATTGACTATTTTCCCTATGCTGTCCTTTACATCCCATGTCTATTTTGTGACTACTGTTTGTACTACCTAATCACTATACCTTTTTCACCCAGCTCTCCAAACCTTCTCCCTTCTGGCAACCAACAGTCTGGTCTCCATAAGTGTGAGTCTGTCAATTTTGTTTATTCACTTATTTTGCTCTTTAGATCCCACTTGTAAGCAAAATCATTTGATATTTATTTTTTGAGGCCTGATTTATTTCACTTAGCATAATACCATGTAGGTCTATCCATGCAATAACAAATGCTAAGATTTATTATTATGTATTTATTTTGTGGCCTAGTAACATTCCATTGTATATATGTGCCATCACTTTGTAATCCACTCATCTATTGATGGGCACTTGGGTTGTTTCCACATCTTTGCTATTTATTTATTTTGTTTTTTAATTTATCTGTATTCTTGAAAATATTACAGCTGTCTCCCCTTTCCCTCATTGACCTCCTCCTCCCCACACTCATCCCTGCTCCAATCCTTAACCCCACTATTGTCTGTGTCCATGGGTTATGCATGTAAGTTCTTTGGTTGATCTCTTTCCTCCCTGAACCCCACTCCTTCCCTCTGAGAATCTTCAGTTTACTACATGCTTCCATGACTCTGGATCTATTTTGTTTGTCAGATTATTTTGTTCATTAGATCCCACATGCAAGTGAGATTGTATGATATTTGTCTTTCTCTGACTGGCTTGCTTCACTTAGCATAATACTCTCTAGGTCCTCCATGCTGCCTCAAAAGTTAAGAGATCCTTCTTTTTTATAGCTGCATAGTATTCGTTGTGCCACCATTTTTTTCTTCTACTCATCTAATGATGAACACTTTGGCTATTTCCAAATCTTTGCTATTATAAATTGCATTGCTATGAACATAGGGCTGCATATATTCTTTTTTTATATATATATCCCTAGAAGTGGGTTCACTGGGTCAAATGGTAGTTCCATTTTTATCTTTTTGAGGAGACCCCACACTGTTTTCCATAATGACTGCTCCAGTCTGCATTCTCACCAGCAGTGTACCAAGGTTCCTTTTTCTCTACAACCTCGATAGCACTTTTCATTTGTTGACCCATATCTTTGCTATTTAAAGAATGATATCATGAACATAGGAGTGCATATATATTTTTTGAATTAATGTCTTTAGTTTCTTTGGATATAAACCCAGAAGTAGAATCACTGGGTCATAAGGCACTTCAATTTTTGACTTTTTTAGAAGACCCCCCACTGTCTTCCACAGTGGCTGCACCAGTCTGCATTCCTACCAGCAGTGCATGAGGGTTTCCTTTTCTCCACATCCTCACCAGCACTTGTTTGTTGATTTATTGATGATAGCCATTCTGACATGTGTGAGGTGAACTCTCATTGTGGTTTTAATTTGCATCTCTGTGATGATTAATGACTTTGAGCATCTTTTCTTATGTCTATTGGCCATCTGTAGGTCCTCTTTGGAGGAGTGTCTTGAATATTCAGTTTCTTGACTCCAGAGAGCCAGGCAGTGCTTTCAGAACTACATCTGTGTTGCTTCATTAATTCCAAGAGTCACAGAGGTGGGAGAAGAGCTGACAAGTATACTTGTACCAGGCTACAAACTGAACACTCTGGATTCTAACTCATATTTTACCCACCTAAGAGGCACTAACTTGGCCCTCCTGGCTCTAACTTGTTTCCTGAGACTTGGCAAAAACTGTCCTTGCCAGTCTCCCTGACCAAGTGCATTTTGCAGTCTCTGTTTTCATTGGATCACAGACCAGGAATGAAGCAGGGACAGGAAGCACTCGCAGAAAGAAGACACGGGGAGCGCCCATCTCAGTGAGCAGATCCCTGGGTTGAAATTCTGATTCCTCTTTAATCTTAAGTGAATCCCTGAACCTTTCTAAAATTCAGTTTCCTTATTTAGAAAACTGTTTGATTTAACATGTACCTCCTGGAATTATTGCAAAATTTGATTAATTAAGCTATTTGAGAGTTCATTGCAAAATGTCTGACCCTCAACAAACATAGCTGAATTTGAATTTAATCCAAATCCTCTGCTGGCCAGCTTTGAATAGACTCCTCATTGGGCCTCTGGCAGCACCTCTATAAGAGGAATATTGTATGTTGCCCACAAACACCCACATCTGCCAGGGTGGATTTGGATATGTATTTGCATTTTCATCTTGTTTAATCCTTTCTCCAAAGCAACCTTCCCACTCCATACTATTCCTCCACCTACCTCCTTTCTTCTACATTTACAGTTTCCTCTTGCCCTGCTGTGCACATCTGTATGGTTAACCGAGCCCTCTATCCTTTCCCATCCCACCCCTCACCAGCTCTCTAATTGTTCCTTTCTCACTTGGCCCCTGTAGGATAACCTTGTTCTATTGTAAACAAACTCTATTATCTAGGCACCGTGGGAAATGTCAGAGTAAAACACACAGCTGCTGCCCTACTGCAGTCGTCTAAGCCTTTTTATTCTCATCAACTCCTGATCTCACAATTCCCAGTCTTGGCACATAACTGTATCGCTTAGTCTGCGGTGTGATATATGACTCTGTCTGGGTAATTTTCCACAAACACATTTTAGCTTTTCCAAAGGTAAAACAAAAAAAAATATATTTTTCCTTACCCTTAGAACTGTACCTTGAAATCATTACACAGTACTTCTAACTATATTTTTTTCTGTTAAAAAGCTGGTGGTAAGAAACAGTTGAAGGTTTATAGTTAAATCTGTGAAAACTTAACGTGCAGGTGAAAGATGAAATAGCAAGCAGTCCTTGGCATTGGGAAGTCTTGGCTAGGATTCAGAATGAAAATGCACTTTTCCTCAGGTGAAAGTCAATTTATTTTCTTTTATTAACTATGAAAGTAGTGGCTTTCTTTAGCTAGGTAAATACATTTAGAGAAAAATTAAAAGGAATGTTTCAAAGTGTACAGTTAAAATCATCACATGGCATGTGAGTGTCATAATTTAAGGCAGAATTAAGCAACAAATGATGTATTAATCCACCTTTTAGTGACTGTTACATGATTTTGATGTTCCACAAAACTGAAATTACAATCTATGATAGCATAAGATATTGTCTTTGTGAAGTTACTAACTATAAAGTTTTTTTTTGTGTGTGTGTAAAGCTATTTATGCATGTCTTTTTCTTTTATTTCAAAATTTTTCATGAGGAATCTGCCCAAAATTTCCTCTCACATGTGGAGAAATTTATATTGTTGGCTGATTTTATATATATATATATATATATATATATATATATATATATATATATATCCTGAGTAGGCGAGTGTAAGGCATTACCTTCCCTAAACTATAAATGCTGGCATGCTAAGATCACCTTTAGCACTGTAAATGCTTGAAATTATGTCAAGTCTAGACTTGGTGTCTGACATAACTGGTCTCTCTCCACTCTAGGATCACTGCTGATATAACTGCCAGAGCTAGCTTTTAAAATCAAAGATTGTCTCATTTAAAATCTTTCATTAGCACCAACTGTGTAAGAAATTACAACTCCAGCAGCATGCCACCCACAACCCTTCCTAAGCACATGATAACCTGTCTTTGCCTTTCCAGTTTCCTCTCCTACCACTGCCCTACTTTGAATGTGATGTCCCAGCCCAACCAAACTATTTCTGTCTCCTTAGACACTTTGGTTTCCAGGCCTTCCCATCACGGTTCAGAAATTACCCTCTCCCCCCTTGATCATAGACTCAGCACCATCCACTGCCTTCTGATCCATATTCGACTGTCCTTCAATTAAGCAACAGCTTCTACTTTTAAGAGAAGGCACCTGTCTTCTGAATCATTTTTTGATTCTTCAATTTTTGAGTAGATAATGTCCTTTCCTTCCTTCTCTTCTTCATGCTACCTAGTGCTTTGGGGCTCTGTAAGTACCTCTATTACAGCAACTTACACATTGCACTTTAATTTTAGTAAGTCCACTCCTTGCCTTGTCTATTCATCATTGTCTCCCCAGTGAGAGACCAACCAGCCCTGAGTAGTCATTCAAAAACTATTTGGTGAATTAATGGTTTTTATGTTTATCCTCAAGGCTAAGAAATCAGAAGCATTTTTACAAAACTGGAGCTAGAGCAAAATGACATAAAACATCAAATGAACAAACATGAATGCTCTAACTTCCTCAACTATTGAAAGAAGGCTGTGAATTATTCATTTTCTCTAAGAGTTATAGTAAACTTTATGAATATTTAAAAACAATAACAATTTTTTTCTAGATTCAAATTAATTTTGTATTTAGTACGACTTCAAGAACACTATGCCATCTTACCTATAATAGAGAAACATGTAAATTACTGTACCTCTGCTATGCCCACAGCCAATCAGAGTGAGTATGCAAATTAACCCAACAAATACGGTGGTTAATTTGCATGCATACATGGGTCCCGGGAACCTCTTCAGCACCCAGATCACTCCCAGTCTGCCATCAGAGGGGTGCAGGGGAGGGCCCTTTCCCAACCTAAAGCCCCAGGCAGGGGAAAAAATCAATAGAAACATATCTTCAAGTATGGACAAAAAAATAAATAAAGAAAGAAATATCATATCCTCTGAAAGACACATCTTAAAAATACTTAAAGAAAGTTGTTATTTTTTCCATGTTGAAGGGACTGGAGCCCATATTGATGAAAACACTTTAGTGCCAGCACATATAAACCATGGGTTCTCCGAACCTGGTTAAAAAATCTTAGTCCTTAAAGAAGGGGTGGGAGGAATGAAATGGGATTCTTCTACAATCCCAGAGTGACCTCGCTGATTGTCCCCTTATGGTAAAGAAGGAGCCACAATGAGCAGCTGAATAGTGACTGTAGGGCGGCAGCCTGACCCTGCATTATCTCCAGGGTTAATTGTTGCTCCTTTGGTGCTGTCCTCATACTGTACAGAAAGAGGGGGGAAATGGCAGAGGGAGATGGTGGAGATGGTCAAAATGTACAAACTTCCAGTTATAAAATAAATAAATCCTGAGAATGTAATGTACAGCATGGTAACCATAGCTAAATAATTCTGCATTATGTATTTGAAAGTTACTAAGAGAATAAATCTTAAAAGTTCTTATCACAAAATAAAATTTGTAATTGTGGTGACAGATGTTAAATAGACTTATTATGGTGATTATTTCACAATACATACAAATATCAAACTGTGTCGTATGCTTGAAACTAATATAATGTCATATGCTAATTATATTCCAATTAAAAATTGGAAGATAAGCACTAGAAAGTTATATTTTAACAACATTAACAATATCAATCACAAAACAGTTTTTGTTGTTGTTTCTTTCTTTTTTTTTTTTTTCAGATATCATATAAGTGGGATTCTTCCTAAATATTTGAAAATTCAGGAGTCTTAGGCATATTTCCACTTCCAAGGTAGAAGGTTTTTTGTTTTGGGTTATAACTATACTTGAGGATTTATCATATTTTTCTACTTTTGTACAGATTTGATAATTTTTATATTTTCAAGTCAGTGGCAAGTGTAAATAGTACCACAATAAATTATTATTTATTTATTACAAAAAATGTTTCTATTTCTGGACTTGGTTTCAAGCCAGATAAAATAGCTGGAATTTAATTTTTCTTATCTACAATAAAAATCAGCCTTTCTATTTTTCTGCTTAGGTGATAGATTTTTTTTCATTTTTATTTTACCTTGAAAGCTAGTTCTTGGATTTAGGTCAGTTTTCCTTTATTTGTGTGTCTCTCTTATCAGTTTTATTTTTGTGGTTGCTGCTACTCCTGTGAAAATGGCACCTCTGGGTTTAGTCACCACCATCATGAAATTTGGAGCTCTTCCCCAGGGAAGCTGGTTCTGGAATGGCCTCGCCATCCCAGTAGACAAGTTCTAGAGATTTTGAGGCTAACAGTGTAGGAAAGGTTACTGCTCACTCCGTTCTTCCAGAGAAAGCAAAGATAGCCCTAAAGCACTCTCTTCCCTAAAAACAGAAGGGGATGAGACTGAAACCCTACCAAATGGTGATGGCAGATCCAAAACATAAGGCCCACTAGCACACAAAAACTTGAGAGTCCCTGGCAGGGCTCCAGGAGCAAAATCAAGAAAATCCAGAAAGGGAAGAGACTGAGCAACTATAATTAGGGATGAGCAAGTGGAGAGGGGTAGAAGGTATAAAACACACAATGATTAATGGTCTTTCCTTTCTACATTTTCCTTATGAGAGTGTTTGGATTTTTTGATTTTACTAGCTTGCTAATAGAGGGTTACTAGTTGTGAACCCTTAAGGGTTTCTTAATTCCCTCACTCTCTGAGTTAAAATGAAACAAAATAACAACAACAAAATCAAAAAAGTAATTCAAATTTCCAGTGACAATGGACAAGAGCAGAGAACTATCTCTATTTACACACTTGTCTTGACTGATAGGAAAGAGCACAATCTGGATAAAACTCAATTTGTGGAATGGGCCCTACATTTAACATGCATAGGGAACCAAATGGGGAAGAGGAAAACAAAACTTATTTGCTCTATAACTGCTCAAATCTTCCTCCTGAACCTTAATCCCACTGAGAGATGAAATGTCAGATTTAGATGTACCAAATAATGGTGTCCCAATGTTTCCATTTAAGTAATCTCTTTTGAATGACTCACTATTTTCAGAAAATATCTCTTTCTTCCTCCTTGCTCCTCCTTGAGATGTTATCTACGTAAGGGGAGAGACAGGTCACTTTGATAGACTTTAGTGGAACACCTGGAGTCTGCAGATAGTCTGAGATCTTCACTGTTCCTGCCATAAAGTTGTGAATCTTACCTCATTTCTGGACTAGCTTTAGCTGAGATATGCCTGATTCCTCCTGCCTTATAATTTAGAAAATACTGTATATCTAAGTTCTGGATAACGGTATCGAGAAGAAAATTCCCTGCATTCTACAGCCTCTTTGTCTCAACTTCAGACTCAGCTGACCCACCACCAGGCTTTTAGCACCTCATCTCATCACATTAGGGAGGATATTTTCAATGCCTGCACAACTGTTTAGGCTACCAGCAAACAGGAGAAATTTTTCAGGCTCATGTGTTGAGTTGCCTCCCTCTATCACTATGGCATTATTGCTCTCTCATTATGGACAGACTCAGCCTCATGACACAAACTGGACTCTCTAAAAAATGGTAACCAACCTCCCTCAGGTTAGTCCACAAATATAGGTGCTTTTAAAACTGCCTCACACATTAAAATGAATTTACCATGTTCTCCCCTGGGCAAGATTCTAGCCCAAGAAGATGATGCTAGGAAACAGATATAGAAGTAAGATTGCTTTACTTTCCATGTTCACTATCCTCCCATTTACCATTGGAGTAGAAGGAGAAACCTTGCTCCTCAGCCACTTCTCTGGCATTGACTTTCCCCAAGTGATCGCATCCTTCTGCCCAAGGGTATAAGCCTGATGGTCTAATTGGTTGAAGAGGCAGCCTCACCAGGCTCCAGAAGAATCCTGATGATCTAATAGCTAAGCCTGCCTTTTAATATTAATGGTGGTTAAGAGAGTTTAGAAATAAATCCTTTGTTCATTGCAAAGTCCTGCTTTTAAACCTCTGTCTTGCCAAAGACGTTAAAATACTCTACTCTGCATCTTAAGCTCAGAATGCTTACTCCAATTTGTTCTTGCATTCTGTGGAAACAATCCTAATTCTCAAGACAAATGGGTGCCCCTTTCAGAATAAGAAGAAAGAGTTCATAACAGATAAGGCAAAAGAAAAATGCATATCCATTCTTCTTTTCTAAACTACAGTAATATTTCCTGTCATTTTACTTTCCTCCTTCTCTTTCTTTTATCTCCCTTTCCCTTTTTTTCTCTTTAATTAGCTAAATTAAAGAGTACTTATCCCCCAGTGCCATGTTGCATGGCTTTTTAATTTGTTAAGTGTATTTAAAGTATTTGGAAACATTTACTCTCCTGATACATTCTAGAAAGAGACAGTTTGCAGAGTGGTTAAGAGCTCACCCAAAGTTCTGAATCACAGAGAACTGGATTCAAAGTCCTGTCCTAACACATCCCCTTGAGCAGGTCATTTGCCTACCAAGCCTCTATTTTCTCATCCTAAAAATAGAGATAACAATATTATGATAAGATAGTTATGATGATACATCAGGCATCTCAATTTCAACATGTCCTAAAGTATACTCTTGATTTTCCACCCTACAAAACTACTCCTCCTCCAATATTTTCATATAAATAAATGGTAATTCCTTCTTCCAAATGTTTAAATCAAAAACATTCAAATAACCTTTGGCTCCACTCTTAATTTCAAATGACATCCAAGTCCTCAGGAAATCCTGTTACTCTGTTGAATATATGTAGAATCTGACTATTCCTTGTCATCTTCACTTCTACAACCTTGGTCCAAAGAAAAATGACCCATCACTTCATAGTTTAGGTAAAAATAGATGCTGCATCAGAATATCTTAGTGTTTTAACACACACACACAAAAAAACTGTTTACAGTTTTGACCAATAGGCAGCTATCATGTAAGCAGTGCTTCTGGGATGTAGTTTATCTCATCCTTGTGGCTCTGTACCTTCAACATTGGCATCAAAGCTGCAAAGCTGCATGGAGGGTGACACATGGGGGATTCAGTGAACCAGGCCTGGAAGTGGCCTACATCACATTTACTCATATAATATTAGTCAGAAGTCATACCTAACCACAAGGGATGCTGAGAATATAGTCTAGCTGTGTGCCTAGGAGGGAAAATGGGTATGGTTAACAGCTAGGCTATCTGCATCACTCACAACCCAGACATCCGATTGCAAACATTTTCTAGTTGGTCTTCCTATTTTCACTTTTATGTTCTCACAATTCTTATCTCAACATAGAAACCTGATGATCCCTTTAAAACAATTTTCATCATGTCCTTCCTTTGCTCAAAGCCTCCAACAGCTTTCTCTCTTGTTTATTCCAAAGTCCTCATCATGACTTTGATGCTTTAGATGATCTACTGCCTACTCCTCTCCTTTTTCTTTTCTTTTTTTGAAATTTTTATTTATTTCAGAGAGGAAGGGAGAGGGAGAGAAACATCAATGATGAGAGAGAATCATTGATTGGCTGCCTCCTGCATGCCCCAAACTTGGGATCAAACCCCACTCAACCACTGAATCATGCTGGCTGGGCCCCACCTTATTTCTTGATTCATTCCTTAGCATTCTCCCATTTGCTCACTCCAATACAGCCAAACTGTCTGTCATCCTTTTCATTGAATATCTCTTCTCTTCAGGGCTCACTCTTGTACTGCCTTCAGATTCATGTTCAAACCAGCTTATTAAATAGCTTGTGTTGAATAGCCTATCAAAGATAACACTCTCACCATCCTCTCTCTCCATTCCCTTTTATATTGCACTTAACACATTCTACATATATTTGTTTTTATGCTTAGTGTTTCTCTTCCAAGATAGAATGTATTCTTTCATGGGAGGAGGAACTTTATTTTATCCCCAGCCCCTTGGGACAGTACATGGAGCAAAGACTCAAGAAACATTTTTAAATTTATTATTGAAAAAGTGAATAAATTGTTTAGCACACTGTCTGGCAAAGAAAGTAATGAATGTATAGTAGCATTGCTGTGATACTAAGTTTTTCTCTTAGATTAAAAAGAATACTATTTTTTATGCATATTTGGGTTTTGTGATTTAAAAAAAAGATTTTCAAATACAAGATTAATTTTTTTTCATGCTCTCGCCATCCTTAACATGACTGTATTCTTTCAACTTTCATCTTTACACCTTTGCTTCAACACATTAATATATTCTTCACCTTTAGAATGAGGAAAAAAGATGAGAGATGGGAAAAAAATGAAAAGAATTTATAATTCAACATGATGCTAAAAGTGAAAAAGGAAGTTAAATTACCATATCTTGTGTTAAAAGGAAATAGTAAGATATAAAAATCATAACTAAATGTAACCATTACTGCTTCATTTAAATAAATTTCAGTCAAAATTATTTGTATGTATAGTCAGGGCCTCAATTTCTTAAACTAAAGCAATGACAATCTCTATGAGTGGAAATAAGATGAGGTAAATATGCCTTGTTTTTATTTTATCTTATATAGAAAAAACTCAAAGCATTTGCAAAGTATCTCAGACTTTCATTAAGCAGAATTCCACCAAATATCGCTTTGTATGGGGTGGAGGAGGCGGGTATTGGAAGGAGCACATCCTGAGGATAGTCTAATCAGGGGCCAAAGATAGCTTTCAGGAGCAATTCTGAACTATAAAAAAAAGATATTAAAATGTGACTTTCAATTAGCTCAGAAATGAGCTCTAGCACTCTCTATGTCTTCAGAAATTACACCTTTTATTTCTCCAGTAATTGGGAGGTCAGAGGGTAATTTGAGGCTACTTCAAAAGATTCTGTGTCTGATTTGGTTAACTGCTAAACCAATTACTGATACATAATGAAAAACTACTAGATACTACTGAATTCTTGATAGGTAGAAAACATTCTTAAGAAATTGTGACATTAAGGGTTTGAATATTCACCTTATGGCTTTCATTCTTCAGGAATACTGAAATCTGTTCAAATTGGGCTATTTTTCTTAGTGTGCTATAGATGTATGGATGGGGGTGAAGTGGCAGTTGTGAAATCTTCTGCAAAGTCTGCTGGCATAAGACATGAATAACATTGATTTTCAAAACCCTTTGAACCTGCTACTTCTAGGGCAGAGTACTTTCAAAGGAAAGAGCCATCTGTTGAGAAACCACAGTAACCTCCTTAGTCCACCTGTGGACCAGATATTCAACTGTTCTCAGGCAGTGGCAACAGGAATTACTTCCCCACACTCAATGGTTCTCTCTAGTTCCTCCAACTAAATAATTGCCCAGACCCACTTGTGAAGAGAGTCTAGGCCCCATCCAGGTGGACATTGCAGAGCCCCATCTTAAGATGAAGTCATGAATTAGTATCCTTTAGAATTATTTTGACTTCTCCCCCTTTGCATAGGGGAGAAGTCATACTAATTCTAAAGGAGTTCTGAACATGAAGTGAATGGAAGGCCCATAACAGAGAGTTATTGATATGTTAGGAACAAACGTCTAAAGCTGCGTCATGGGGACACATTGGAAAGCAAAATTGTGTAGGGTTGATTTGGAGCTTTCCCTCATGTTTATTCCTAAGTCCTCATCTGGAGTCAGGAAGGATGCAGGGCAGCAAAAAAGTCTGGGGATGATAAAGATAAGGAGGAGAGGGGGAAGGGAAAGGGGAACAAGGGAGAAGTGGGCATGAACATATGGTGAACACAAGATCTTGCTAAATGTTTGCCTTCAAGTGTGGCCTTATGAGTCGCTTGAATTAGAGTCCTCTGGGAAGCATGTTTCACACAGATTCCCAGGCCCACCCCAGACCTCCTGAATGAAACCTCTGCAAGTAGAGCCCAGGGATTTAGACTTTTACCATGCTCCCTAGTATGTGAGTCTTCTGCACACTCACATTTAAAATACATATATTTTTTTATTGATTTTTTACAGAGAGGAAGGGAGAGGGATAGGGTTAGAAACATCGATGAGAGAGAAACATCCATCAGCTGCCTCTTGCACACCCCCTACAGGGGATGTGCCCAAAATCAAGGTATATGTCCTAGACCGGAATCGAACCTCAGACCCTTGAGTCTGTAAGCCAATGCTCCATCCAGTGAGCCAAACTGGTTAGGGATGCACACTCGCATTTGAGTGCTAAGTTTTTTCAACTGTATTGTTTTGCTTAAATCTCCAACAGTTACATGACATGTATATTCTTTTCATCCCCTCTGTAAACAAGAAACTGATTCAGAGAAGCTGACTGCAAAAAGTGTAGACAAAGCAAAGCAGGAATGCCAGCTCAGACATTCTGGTTCCAGAATCTGTAATTTTGATTCATCATCCTTAAACTTTTTCTATAAAATGGCCAGATAATAATCTTTTAAGGTGTTGTGGGCTATTTGGTCTCTCATGAAACTACGCAACGCTGCTATACACAATATGTAAATAAATGAGCATAGCTAAACATTCCAATAGAACATTACAAAAACTGCCTGCTCCAGATTCAGGATTGCTTTTCAATGTGTAGTGTTCAGAGCAGCAATGTGATGAGAGCTTGCTGGGACTTCAGCCTGCTTCAAACTTGCTGAATCAGAAACAGCATTTCACAAAGTCCCCAGGAGATTTCTATGCACATTCATGTATGAGACCCCTACTCTGGGATCTTTTCAAAGAACTTCCCCCAAAGCATCTTTATGGCATTTGCTGTCCTTCCTTTCAAGTGCATGAATCCAGCTTCTGACAATGAGTATGCTGACTACCTCCCAAAAAAATGTTTAAAAGTAAACAAATATTTAGCCAGAGGAAAAGTCTTTCAACTAAGCTAATAAATTACTCATATTACCTATAAAAAGTGGGGAAAGAATTGGAGTGAAATTATTTAACATTTTATTTTGCATAAACAGAGAAAACTGGCAAAAATAATATAAAGTACTTTCCTATTCCCAAGTTAATCAATTTTTATATTTTTATATCACTTGCTTAATTATTATAGATAAAAATAATAGGTGGATAAATAAATAACTTTTTTTTTTCTCAAAACCATTTTAGAGTCAATTGCAGAAATTATGTCCCTTTACCCCTAAATACTTCAGTATGGATTTCATAAGAATAAGACAATTTCTTCAAGACAAGTAATAAGTGTTGGAAAGGTTATGGAGAAAAAGGAACTCTCATTCAGTGCTGGAAGTAATGTAAACTGGTACAGCCACTATGGAAAACAATATGGAGGCTTCTCAAAAAATTAAGAATGGAGTTACCATATGACCCAGTAAACCCTTTTCTGGGTATCAACAAAAAAAAAAAAAAAAATTGAAATCATTCATTCATTTGCAAAGATATCGATATAAGCCACCACCATATACTTTATGGCATTGTTCATGGTGCCAAACATGGAAACAGCCAAAGTACATTTCAATAGATGATTGGGTAAAGAAGATGTGATCTTATCTAATAAAAGAGTGATATGCAAATTAACCATCACTCAACTATACCCACAAGCCACGCC